AGCTAAAATTAATTATAAGAATAATATAGGAAGTGATGAGGGATCACCACCACTGATGATGATGGTACAAAGGGATGTCTAACTTTAGACTTCAGAGTTTAAGAATGAGACCCAACCCTTCGAAGCATTTGATGTTGGCCATCAACAAAGACAGGACGGCCTCTAGGGTTGATCCAATATGGCAGTTCCTATCCCTTAGTTGAAGGTGGACACATCTACACCAGTTGCTGACTGCGCAGCAGCCTGATACTACTGTGCAGTAGTGTTACATGGCAAAAACCATGTTGAGACGCTACTGCATAGTAACTCCGGTTACTGCACATTTATTTAGTACTTGCTTATACAAGTACTAAATAAACGCCCAGTAACCACTGTGCAGTAGCATCTTGTGTAGATAAACCCAGTGTGATTTTCACTTCCCAGACTCCATCAGTGTGTACAGTTTTGGAGTTATGCACACATGGATGTAAACTGAGAGGGTCCATATGTACTACATGTACTATGTATACTGATTTTGCAGAGATAACGTGAAAGGCAAAACAACCCAAGTGCTCCTTAAAATTTGCAGGTGGAGACTGTGTTGAAGCAGGGTAGGATAAGGATACTTCTATTAGGGACAGGAAGGGACACATGTTCTTAAGAGGCTATCTAAATGTTTACTACTGATTGTGCATGTACAAAACATGCACAGATACCCACTTAGCTTAGGCAGATCATCATTTACATATCCAAATATGGGTTTTGCAAATTCAAAAGGCCTGTGTGAAAATGCTATGGTGCAGTTGAGAAAACATATCCAAAAATATGTCCACTTTATACAACTACATTAATATTGTAAGAAAAGCACATTCCCTTACGAGATCTAAACCTGAAATCTTTACTTCTGTAATTAATACTCGTATATGCATTTAGTCCTTTAAAAGTCAATTAAATTATTCATATATGTACAGTTTTGCAGGGTCAGTCACAAAAATATTAACTCCTGATGTCAAATGTCGTAATAATGATATTCTAAAGCCCAGATTCACAGCTGCTATATACTGAGTTGCCCTACCAAAGGAGTTACACCAACACATATCCTTACCCCCTTCAAGGATCTGGATCAGAGCTTGACAGAGAGGGGCTTATTTTTATGCTCTTGTGTAACTGCTGATTCAAAGTTGTGTGCTAATGTGGAAGTGTGTTTAGTTGCTGGTATGTGAATGCCAGCTAACTAACAATACACTGCCTAATCATCACACACACATCTATTATGAGCCCATTCCTGCAAACCCTTCAAATACTCACATGCACATCTCCCACTTCCTTCAGTGGGAGGTCTGCATTTGAAGAGTTTTCATGAATGGACCATATGTTACTTGACTTGCCTATGAGCTCAGATAATGAAATAGATTCTTTTTCATTTTGCAATAAAGTAACAAAATAAGATGTATGGATATGGTCAAACAAAGATCAAGACTCAGAAACCAAGGCAATAATAGGTCCTTAAACTAATATTAGTCAAAATATTCCTAGCAAGAAATAAACTCTCTCTCATTTTTAATCTCACTAATCTTGTAATTAAAGCAATAATTCGAACTAATTGGCTACAAACCCTTTAATTCCCTGCAAACAGAAAGTAAATGGAAGGCCCCTGTAAACAACAGGTAATGACAGTGTACTGATCTGTCGGTTGTATACAGTAGGTATTCTGCAGAGAATGGAGGTAAACCTAGTTTTACTGAAAATATGAACCAAGGATTTTGAAGAGGGGCTAACAACATATTAATATTGATAAATAATACTACACAAGGAGAGTCTTCAAAAACTAGTGTAAATGCTAATGTGAAAATTCTGAGTATTGTTTGTGCTCACTGAAATCAAATGTGGCTGAGGGAGTTTTAGCACCTAGTGGAACTAGGAAAAAAAATAAAAATACTTAGTATAAAAGTGATACTTGCAAAGGAGTACTGGGATGATTTGAACAGTGCATTTGATAGACACCTCCACTGTAATCCGATATAAAAGTCCATTCATCTGGAGTCCATTCTTCAAAGCATCTGACAAAGTAGGCTGTAGCCTCTGAAAGTCCATTCACGGCCCCTGACAAAGTAAGCTGTTGCCTATGCAAGCTCGTGACACTCTGAATGAGTTAGTCTATAAAATGCCACCTGGCTTGCCTTCTGTCCATCTCAGGTATTTATAAGGGCTTCTATTAAACTGATATCTAAGTGCTGAACAAAATGAAGCACCATAGAGCTAAGGCAACCAAGTGTTTCCTCTTTCTGTGTCTTCTAGATAGCAGGAATGTGTGAAATAGCAAAAACAGTAAATACCCTCTTTATAGCAGAATATAAAAAGAGCCCAGAAGATACACTATGCAAAACTAGTTCTGATGCACTTCAGTGATCAAAGTTTGTGCAGTAGGATAGCAGCTGCATGTTAGCTGGTGTCAGTTTTTTCAACCAGCTAACAGTACACTGCCTTCCCACCACACACACTGTTTTCAAAACTGGTCTTTTGAAGCTTTCCTAGTTCTTCTCATTAAAAATACACAGTGAGCTGCCCCTGCAGCTGTTGACAGTGCAGTAGCGACTGCTAGATTCACACAAAGCAGCCAGCTAACAGTACACTGCCTACCAGACACAGGGAGTGCTACTCAAGCAAGAACTTTCCTTACAAAGTATAGCATCACTGAACTTTTCTTGCAACAGTGGCTTTCTAAAGTGGCACAGTGGAAAATAAAATTAAGGATCCATCAGATTTCAGAGTCACTCATCTTGTTTAAAATTAGCTTGTTTAATATATTTCAACACAAGCAGTAGATACTGTGATGTGAAAAATATCAAAGGAATGATCCATTTACAGTGTTGGAAATCAGGCTAATTCCAGTGAAGTCACTGGAGTTGTAACATTGTAGTCAGCCTAAAGTAAGAGCAGAATCAGGCCCCAAAGCCTAGGAACTCTGGCAAGTGTTTGATTTCATTCTCTTTTCACTCACAGCATCATAGCCCATAGGGAGGTGCCATTTCCATGATGTTTCTGAATGCAACAATATGGAGTACAGCTAGCAACTGTTAACACACGTACACAACAGCCAGCTAGCAATGCACTGCCAAACTGAAACATTCTCATACTCAGTCTCTACTTCTTGGCCATTAGCTTCTTTCCACAAGCAACAGTATCTTCTTTCTATAGCTTAGTCATTGCTCAACATGTTTAATCAAGCATCAAGCTTCTATTTGGTTTTGCTCATTATGAATAGTGTGAATGTGTCTATTTTATGGTTATTCTGAATATTTATGTCTATTTTTCACAAACAAGTAAAAGACTCAGTTTGTTGCAAATGCTTTTTTGTTCTATGCTCTGTGTTTGGGACACCTTGCTTATCTCCTCCAAAATGTCCCCTAAAGGTCCCTTTCTATATTCCTGCGTCACACCGTGTATCTGAATCGCACAAAGGAATTCTTATAAAGTGACTCAGCAGATTTAGTGCCCCTTATTTGAGGTAAGGACCATCCATTCTGAATCCTATACGTTACCAAGTTCACTGAGGATGATTAACAAACAAGAAACTATAACAACATATTTCCACCTCTCCACTATGTGTTCACCCTTCAAAGTTTTTTCTCTTCCTTATTTGACCAGTCAGTTGGTAATGCTACACACACAGACAGCTCCTATATACCTGCACCTCTTCAATCAGATCAACTAGTTACTTCTTGCTTTTATATAGCAATCTGCCCCCAAAGCACTGGGAAGAAAGAATCACGGGTTCTGCTTCTAGGTTCCAAAATATCGTTGCATGTTGATGGGATTAGTTTATGCCCATTTTTCTACAATTTCCAATGTGACGTGGAAATGAGTTTACATGTCACATTGGAAATTGTAGAAAAATGCAGGTGTAAGCAGTGAAATTCCTCTTAGAATCGGTGCCTATACATGAGCAGCGAGGCTGCTCCAACATGCTGTAATCAGACCCAGACAGTGGCATGGGCAAACTGGGCAGCTGTCTGGGACCAGGATAGAAAGGAGGCCCAAAAATGGTGGTGGGGGGGGGAAATTACAATTGCCAAAAAAAGTTTTAATATTGTGCGTATACAGGACTGGCAATGTTATCAATTGAAAAGAAACTATTTAAAGGCATCGATACCACAGATGTGATAAAGACCTTTGGAACAAAAGTCTCTGAGGAAGGGGGGCCTGATAACTGAAAGTTCACCCAGGGCCACCAGGAGTCTAGGTACGGCACTGGCTGTAATTACGCTGTGATTAATTGAGTCTACTGGAGCATGGTATTTACTGTGCTTCAGCCAGCTTCTGCATCTCGTTTATCAGCATCCCCATGCTTTAGAATGGCGGCAGGGGTGCTTTAACTAAAGCTTGCTCAAGGAGCTTTAGATAAAGCATCCGCACAGCTATTTTGAAGCACGGGGATGCTGATACATGAGACACTCCAGTAGCTTTAATTAGAGAGGCTCTCAAAGCCCACCCCGCCCCCACACACACACATTCCTGCAGCACCTGTAAAAATGCCCATAGAGAAGTAGGGCTGGAAGGGACCTCCAGAGGTCATCTAGCCCAACCACAGACTGAAGCAGGATCATCCCTATCCAAACCATCCCATACAACCAGAATCTGAGCTCTACATCATACCACCCTCAACCCTGACTCGCCCCCTAACCTGCCACAAGTAAAGCAGGGTAACTGATGTCCTGCTTCTATGAGAGGTTGTCAGTATACTCAAGAGGCCTGGGGTAGAGGGCCCCCTGCTACAGTGGAAGGCAACCCCCCACCCCACCCCACCCCACAGCCCTCACCCACCTGACCATGGGGTAACACCCTTTCCTGACCCCAAATCCAGCCACAGCCTGACTAAGCGCAGGGCCAAGGCCCTCTAGCCAGGAGCAGCCTGAAAAAGGAGCAGCTGCCTTCAGGGTCACTCGGCTTGTCTAGATCCCTTCCTTCGCCCTGCCGCCTCCGCAAGGCGCTGCCCGGGGCTCCGCGGGCGGGTCGCTTACCTCCGCCGGCTGCTGCGGCCACCTTCGCGTCCTGCTCTGCCCGAGGTCTCGGCCCAGCGCCCGCAGGACCCTCTCCTTGAAGCGAATAGGACAGGGAGAGGCAGGGGCTGAATGGAGG